GGGCGATTCTAATGCTCATATCAGAGCAGATACTGAAAAGTAGAAAGGCGTAATTGAAAAGAACGATCCTAACGACCTCAACAATAACGGCATGAAGGTGCTACAATTTTGTATAAACAACGGACGGCTCTTTATGAACACCTTCCTCCAGCATCGAACAGTGCATCAGTATACCCGGTGCCGGGAAAACTGTGCACAGAAGTCGATGATCTGTTTGATAATCGTATCGTCTGACCTAAGATGCTCAGTAAAGGACGTTCGAGTGAAGAGAGGAGCAGAGTTATCAATCGATCACCACTTTGTTGTTGGCAGGTACCATACGAAGATCTGCTAGCAGAAGCAACCATAGAATCAAACGGGAAACATTATCTTCGGCAGATTCACGTGTAAACAACTTCACTCGACGGTTTGAACAGATTCCGGTGACGACTCAAGATGTGGAAACCGAATGCGAGCTCTTAAACATAGGTTTAATAGTGGTTACAGTCGAATCTACTGTTTGAAACCATTTCATCTGCCATCTGGAGGTCAGAAACGACCTTCCAGGTGAACAGGGGAAGTTCAGCTGTTTGTCAAAGAAATCAAAGCTGCATCAAAGAAATGACTAGGAAGCAAAGAGACTTCAAATACGAGTGCGAAGAAGCGGGCATAGCGGCAGCATAAGGGGATTCCTGGGAAAAGTTAACTGAAGCGTAACGTCGAATTTCCAGATGGCAAACAAGGTACTTTAGTAGACCATTCACCGACTACGAGATCGAAAGAACACTCTAAAAGTTCTGAAAAATAGGCATTTTAATAAACATGAAAAAGTACATTGGCAGTGGAGAGAGTACTCTGAGGAACTCATTAATCCCGAGCAACCGCAGGACGCCTCGCCTCAACTTATGAGGCAACGAATGTCCGTGTTTCAGCAGATGACGTCGCAGATACTGTAAAAAACTTGAAAAGTGGAAAGGCCACTTGAAGCGACGAAACCCGCCCTAAAATGCTTAAAGCGTTAGCCGAACAAGGCACGTTGTGACTTCTATGTAACCTATCAAGCTTCGATGGCTACGGGGAAGGCACCAATGGACTGGAGAATGGGCAGTGTAGTACCCCTTTTCAATAAAGGGGACCACCGAGAATATTTAGATTATGATGGCATTACCTGACTGAACCTTCTGGAAAAAGTCTACACAGAGGTGTTAGAAAAAAATGCGCGGAATAAACTACTCTGAGATCCAAGAAAAGTAGGGTGGATTTAACTATGGCCAATGCACCTCTGATCAGATGTTAAACATGTAGCCGAATGTTGAGAAATCGTGGCAGTAGGCTCATCCACTTTACATGTGTTATGTTGACCTTGAGAACGTCCATGACCGGATAATGCGTAAAAAACTATTGAGGTGCCTGAAAACATATTGGAGCGATGACCAATAGTTACATGCGATCCAGCAGCTATATTTTAATAGAAAATACTAAGTCAGAGTAAATGGCTTTAAGTTCGACACCTTTCAGCGTTGGCACCGGTGTGAGCCAAGTCCGTGGGTTCCCCTCTCACCCCATAGGTAAAGCAGTCAGACACAGCCAGGGCGACGAGCTATGACGTCTGCATTATTTCTTCTAGACAACTTGAAGGTTCACAGTTTGCAATTTGTGCGTAATATGTGTCGTGCAATGCACCTTCGTACTGAATCAAGTGTAGCGTCGACAGCAGTGACATTGGTTTCAGTTCCCGTGATTTGCTTAGTTCTCGCAGCACCTCGTTATGCAAGCGTGATTGACCAGCATGAATAAGATGTAATCAGATATCTGACGGCGATCAGTATGCGATGTGGCACATTCGTATGAATCTCAGGAAAAAACCCGATTAGTGGTCATTTAAAAGTACTGAAGGCAATTAGAAAGTCATGCAAGAATTCAAGGACCATTTTGAAAACTTGGTGCAGAATATAACCCTTCATTTGGTCATGTGACTTAGCTATCCGCCTTTGGCTATGCGATATAAATATAGAAAATGTGGCATGCGAGAAATATCATCTGATCAAGAGGTAAATACTCATTTAACGGGACGCATTTGATTTCAACTGGCACAATGGGCAATTTAGCTTTCATACAAGCAAGCCAAGCCTAGAAGAAAAAAGCTAGCCGGGCATCAGCGTACAAAAAACAACACATTTCCGACATAGTACGCATGACATGCACCCGTTTTTACTCACTAATCCATCGTGCGATGTTCAAGTATTAGTGGACATTGACGTCACTTACAAAAAAGTCGCTTCGAAAGACTAATTAGCAGCCAAAAATCAATCACATCCACTTTATACGGCTATACAGCGTCGAGGTATGGACAGCATGAGATGAAAAAAGAAGTAGGGCCGAAGCTTACAACGGTCAGATTTAAAATGCTTAAATGTTCAATCGATGACGATCAGCTCCCAAGAAGCAGAGGAGATGAAAATCGCTGGTTCGACGATCAGCCATATTGATGCCCGAAGAGTAACGATTCTGTCAACAAACAAGCAAGCAAAAGAATTTGACGCCAATGATTATATTGTTTAATCTGATGAGTTACTAGACTTGATGGCTTTTCTTCAAAGCATATGCTACGCCTAAAAGCATAAAACCTTACTCAACCATATTAGCACAAATCATATGTTACCTTTCACAATACTAATCTGTCCGTAACAAAACGGATCAACATTACCAGAAGAGTGAAATTAATTTACTTTCTAGCCCAGACAGAATTAATACTTTCCCCCCTGTGCAGATTTTACCACATTATTGCCTAAGCTTCAACTTTCATAAAAGCCACGGTATGTAAAGTTGAGAAGAAAGTGGAGACACTTACGTTTGGTAATGATATAGTAGTCACAGTAACATATATTTCAGTAATTAACAGACTGAAGATCAACGGATCAACATCTACAATTTAACTTGATTTTGCGCCGTGCACCTGGCAACTGATTAGCTTTTTGGCACAATGGTTTATAATGGTGGCGGTCCGATCGAATGCGACAAAGAAGCTGTTATTATCACCAATCAAAAATGGCATTAAACTCGTACGCTGCAGACGATGTAGAAGGATGATAATGTGGGAATGTACTGAAAACTGGTACACCGACCGACGGATAAACGAACTTGCGTTATGGACGTTTCACTCATCTACAACTCCTTAGCGAAACTGGATGCGTTATATCAAATGAATCAACTCACCAAACACTGAGGAGGACAACGAAATACGTTCCAAGAGAAAAGAAAATTTTCTATATTCAATTATATACCTTATAGTTAGCATATTCTGATCCATGTGATAATTCTAAACATGACTATTTTTAAATATTACGCTATGTTGTTTGTCCTTCCGTTCATCACCTTGAGACGCTTGCATAAGCACAAAGTTTTTGGTCTGCGATGTCTGCTGTACTGATAGCTCTACAATATTTTTGCCACAAGGCACCGATTACTGCATCGAAGAAGAACCCATTCTTCTTCGCAAATAGATTTGCCTTTTCCTTCTTCCTCCTTGTTTTATGCTGACCCCCAGGCAGACGCTTGCGGTGTTTCAGCTCGAATACGAAAATCTTTCCTGGAATCTTCTCATCTGTAGTGCACATCTGTGTACGGAAGAGGATACAGTCGTCTGTTACGCGATCCTGTCATTTGACGCTTATTCTCACCGAAGTCAACATCGCTATACGCAGTTTAACTGTCGTTCTCGGTTCCTCGTTAAAACAACTGTCTTCATGCCCTGTAAAAGCATTTACCTCTCCGAGGCAAAATATACGCTGTATTTCTGCTCCAAACAAAAATGCTTGAGAGGTTATCAAAATAACTGCAAGCGATGGCGATTCTCTCATTTAATTCTGATTTGATGATGCTAGAGTCGGATATGATACTTAAGTCGAGACACTTAAATTGGTCGACTTCCTTGGCTTCATCGCACAGTTCTACTACTAGATCGTGCCTATTACCAGGACTTAAATTCGTCAGCTGTTTGCATTGGCGAGCAACTTTAAAAAACAAGTGCAATTTGATTTGCATCTTACAGGTTTGGGCTTTTGAGCCCCTTACTGGGCGTTTGGGCTCCATACTTTGGGCTTTTAAAAGCTAGACTTCTAAGATCTTCAAGTATTCGTTTAACCCATAGTGCACATACAGAATGCCGATATATGAATACACCTTCAAATCAAAGTCAAAAACGATAAGTGCACGGTGTTGAATAGCATCACCGTTATAGTTCCAAAAATCGGAATAACGCCGATATGACTAAGTGAAGCAAGAGCTCGCATACATGAGCCATGACTGCAAGTTTTTCGCAATTATTTTGCATCCATGACACAGCCGCTGTAACAGTCGAACGCATAATGCATATTGTACGCTTTCCCAGCACGTGTACGGCTTGGTGATCTGATTAACGCTGTCCAGCAAAAGTAGTGAATTGTTTTAGCAAATGGTTATAAGTCGCGATCGGAATGAGGAACGACCGTTGAAGCTGAAGTGAATGAATATTGATGCAGAGCAATGAATACATTCATCCTAGCGGAAAGAAAGCATGAACGATTTAAGAACTCTGAATCGGTAAGCTAAATACGGCATATTGCTGCCTCGGCTGTCGTTTGAAACCAACACCGTTTTGACAACGGTTCAGTCAAAGAAGGCTACGGTGACCAGAGGAATATGGATACTTTTCGCCTTACGATATTTCGATTTTCGATGGTGCGATGGCGATGTGTTACAGTGTAGCATCTGTTCCAAACAGAATATTACGGGTAAGCATGAAGTCGATTTATTTTTAGCTTTCTGCCTGGAGGAAGATTTTTGGTTCGGATAAACGGTGCAGTCGAAGCGCCAGACAACGAGTTCAAGAGAATTCAGCATAGCATAAAACGTAGAGGGTATCTGTACAAGTATGAGTATAGCTATAATGAGAACGCATAGTACATGATAACAGCAAGATCACTGCACCTCGCTTCCCTATATATAATATATGAAAAGTTTTCTGAACAGTGGCTGTCGCCAATCACTGGAAACAAAAACCTACCCTTTTCGTAATCCGCTGCATTTCTTCCACCTGGTTGGACAGCTTCGGGGCAAGGTGATTCGCGTACAGGTCGGCGCAGACGAATCGGTTTTTCGATTCGGTCTTCGTCTCGTTTAGCAGTATCTTCCAGAGGTTGTAGGTCGAGAACAGGGGCCATGACTCCCGTCTACCAAGAACAAACAAAATCAAGTCTAAGGTCACTCGAATAAACAGTCCAAAAAACACCAAACGTTGAAACGTACTTCACTTTCTCCATCTTGTGTCGAACCAGAAACAAACGGTTAAGCTTCTCGAGGTTCTTCGCGTACTCGGTTTCGATCTCTGCTCGACGCCGGAAGAAATCCTGCAGCTCGAGCAGCACCGAGCAACTCGCTTCGTTCCTTCCTTCCAGGCATTTCAGCTGGTCGCCGAACTGCTGACGAATGTCTGAAACGAGAATCGAAGTGTAAGACCAACGTAAGTAATGTTCCTCAGCTAAAAAACTACTCAAAACAATAACACGTAACACGATAAAATCACACGACTACATGACAATTACACATGACAAATAATAACATTAAACTATTTGCCACATAATTACGAATAATGCAACACGGCAAACAACAGTTGTCAGACAGCACAATATTTCACTCGGGTGCAAGAGTATAGTATAAAAAACATGAAAGGCGACAAAGGTTACTAGTCGCGAAGTAAATAACTTCTCACGATGCCTACCTTTCATGCTCAGTACTTCTGAAAACGGCAATAGTAACATATCGTAACGATATCCTTTT